GACTGCCATATTCTACCGTAGGATCTATGCACAGATGTATGTATGTATTGTCCATGCCCTGAGGGCTCTGTGCTTAGAAGGGCTGATGGCGAGCTTACGTGATCACACAGAAAATCTTGATCGAAAAGTCCGCAGATGGTGACAACAAAAGATAAGACGGCCTGCTCCCAGCTCGAGTCGGTATCCTTAACGTCGTGCTACAAGTCCCCCAAAACGCGAAATATGGTCGCAACCAACGATCGACCTACTTGAACAGATAATTCCCCGCTTGCATGCGGGGAAGAAAGGCCGATCGGACAAATAAACAAGTCACGACACCAAATATTGATACTCTACAACAAAGTCCGTCGCTACGAACAAGTGGTGCCTCACGGCAGACATTGCGACCTGAAGGACAACCCGGTTTCGTGGATATGCGCCGTCTACAAAGCTATGCTCGCGGGGTGCGAAGGGGGGAGTTACCGCCGCCGTAATATGCGTGTTTTACCATTGGCGTTGGCGAAGGAGGTGGTGGGGGGGTCCATGTGGTGACAATATCGGGCTGACCAAGCAACTGCAAGCGAAAGAAGTAGCAGCCATGTCCGAAAAAAAACCACATGCAAGGCGAAGTTGAAATTTGAACCAGTGTCAAAGAGAATGGCGCAGAAGAATGCAGGTCTACTCCTTGTTCCTTTTGATCGTCAATGGCGCCGTTGTAGTAGAAAGAGCCTAGGAGAGAGAGGTAGTTGCAGGGATGACCGTGATGAGGCTATGAACTGTAGTACCAATCTCCATGGCGCAAAGAGAGAGAGAAGTCGGTCATACAGCGTTATTCTAGCATTGGAGGAATAGGTTATGCAGCAGCAATGCCGTTTGGGGGGATCGTCCAACTCCTGTTTCCCACCAGTCGGTAAAGCTGATGACTACATGTAGAGAGCGTGTGCGCGTTTACGTCCCGCCATGTTGATGTATTTTCCTTGGTCAGCCGGTTAGCGTGGTCGACTCTTCACAACAAATGACACACGGTGCAGGACACTCAGAAGAAAACGATGTTACACTCTACAACAATTTTCCAATCGGGCAGTCTCATCCTCCTCTTTTGTCGTGCCAGCGGTGCAATCACACGCACCACCAAAAGACATCGAAGTACCACCGCGAGCGTCGACCACTTCGTGCAACGACAAAGACTACATATTCAAACACTGATGATCGAAACCGAATAACGCATGCAGAAACGCTGGACCGGGGGCCATCGTGCAATAGCCACCGTATCCAGCGGGGACAATGCGGATGGGACGCGAGCTTGCAAACAATTCGGAGTCGAACACACGAAAGGTACCACGAAAATATTGAAACTCTTCCCTTGTAGCTCTTTGATTGCAAAAACAGCATCTGAGCTAAACAAAAAACAACTGTAGGGCGGGGGGGCCGAACATCTATGCCACATCAAAAGCATGCCATGACTCTGATCGCACAAGAGGAAAAGCCCTATGGCAAAATGGTCAAGATCAATGAACAAGCCAAACACAGAAACACAAGAGCCGTGCGCCATGATGCTGGCATCAGAAGCAGGATTAGCACGCTACGATGCTAGTATCAAAGCAAAACCGGGGGGTGGGGAGGGGAGACCGACGCGTTGATGGCCCTAACTCCACTCGAGGGAAACCCCAACGGCTGCAGGTCAAGGCCATCAAACAAGTCCACCATAGAAACCAGACTAGTGCACTAAGGTGGTGGCACCAGAAGCAGGAATAGTACGCTACGATGCCAGCATCAGAGAAGACGAACTGGAAAGGGGGGCGAACATATGTCCGAAACCGTACCAGATCATGGCTCTTACTCCACACGAGGAAAACACTTGCTGACAAGGTCCAGGCCAATCACGAAGTCTGATCTGGAAGCAGGGTCGATGCGCCGCGATGCCGGCATCAAACAAAACACGGAAGGCGGCAAGGGGGGGGACCGAACACGAATGCCATACCGAACGAGTGTATTGCCCCGACTGCACACGAGGAAGAGTCCTCTACGGCAAAAAGGTCAAGGCCAATGCACAAGTCTGATGCGGAAACACAGGATCAGTTCGCCACGATGCCGGCATCAAAGCCAAACCGGAAAGTAGGGGGGACGGGGGGGAGGGGGTGCCCCAAATCAAGGCGGTTGTGGGTCTTGCTACACGCTGGAGAAATCCAGTGGCAAAAGGCCAAGGCCAACAAACGCTCTGATCTGGAAACAGTTTATGTGCGTCATCAGTGCATCATCTCCCAATACGGTCACAGAAGGTGGCTACCGCTGCAATGGAGAATACATCTCCAGCAAATGGCGATAACGCATCAACGTATTCGATTGGGAGATTCCTCACGTCCAGCGCACTGTCACGGCTTTGGCCCACACAACACATGGAACTCCAATGGCCAAGCCAGGAGCTCCGAAGCATGGCCACGCGCTACCCCTGTCGGCGTGCGGCAATCGACTTATTTCCATCATGCGAACAACTACTCAAGCAACAAATAGCAATCACAAACACCGCGCGAAACGCACAACACACAACGCACTCGAACCTAGTAGTCGATGATGATGAAAAGAAAAGGCGCTCGGTAAGGACACGACATAGAAACACACACGAGCCAATACTGTACAACAACCAATCCCTGGCTGGCAAAACTCGAAATTGCTCAATGCACGCGTGCACCCGAAAAAACCATTCGCGTATAGCCCGCCAACACCTAAATCCTGCACATCTTCATCGCATCCCGTGCCGAGCTGAGAGAACGCAATGAGGAGTGCTGATGACACGCTGGTCCTACACCCACCGCGAGCGCTCGATGAAGGTTGCCTACTGTTAGAGAACAAACACGCTTGAAAAAACTAAAGAATCACACAAATATATAACTTGACGCGCATTCATTCACGTCCGACCCTCCCCCACAGACATCATAGGCCCCCCACACGACAACCTATTCTCACGCGTGAGGCCTTTGTGGCAAGCCTAGTGAGTGTCTTATCTGCATCTACACTCCTAGAACGCTCTACACCATCTTTTCCCACGTTTTTTCATGCCGCTACGTTCTTTTTGTGCACGCTACGCCACCATCAACACCGCACACGTCACGCAGCAGCGCACCACGCAGGAAGCACACGTGCACATCTCACGCACCGAAAGAAAACATTTTCAATAGCTCAAGCCAACGAATTCTGAAGCCCCATCCTGCCAAATAATACTTCTGCTACAAATATCGGTCGCGAATCCGCCACTCTCGTACACCGTGTAAAACGTCACCATTTTCCCTGACGTTCACATGTTGCGGAGCGACAAGTGGTTCCGCGGGGAGGGAGAGGCCTTCGCTCTCTTCCTTCTCTCTTCTTCCTCCTAGCCGTCCACCTCCATCGGCCACGGCCCTTCGTACTCCTCGTCGTCGTCAACGTCCATCTGGTTGGACGCCCACTCGGCCTCCCGGAGCTCCTCCATCGCCGCCTGCGCACGCGCAAGGTCCGCGTCCGCGATGACAGACTGCCAGAGCAAGGCTTCTTCCTCGGCCTTGGACATGGACGGCCGGCCCGCGAGGCTCAGCTTCGCCTGGAGAACCGACGCCAAGGCTCTAGCCATCACAGCTGTTGCCGTCGATATGCGCTCGAGCTTGGACGGGTCGACGTCCATGTCATCGCGGGCGAGTTGCT